CCCCGCCCTCTACGATTCATCTCCCTTCACCCACCACGCGCGGTGCCGGTCGGCTGGGGCCAGCGTTGAGCTCGCCACTTCTCGGTTGCTAGCGCTCGTATCTCGCTCTTTTTTCTTTTTTCTTTTTCAGTTTGTTGCGTCTTCAGTTTTCAACGCGTCTCCAAGTCACGTGGGAGGCGTTGAGCGCTTTGAATAACCGTCCATTAACCACAGCGTAGTAGTAATCCGTCACTGATTATTTTACATTGGCACATCTTACGTCTCGTCGCTTGTCAGTTGTCAAGAGGACCGCCAGTTAGCACCTTCGCGTACGCGCCTTCTACTACACGCGCCTGCAACACTTTCTCTCCTTTCAACTTCGCCTTTTTCTTCAAAGGCGTCAATTAGGAGCAGCGCGTGCTCAAGGCTTCGTCGCAGCCGTCGAACTATATCGGGAGATGCCAGAAGTTATTGGTGATAGAGCGAGATTTAGTTTGCGGCGCGAATATGTCCAAAATGGTCGCCAATGTTAAATTTTAGATCTGCTGGCGATGGCTCACGATGCACACTTCGTAGTGAACGTTACTCGCTCGCACGGAACCTCCGTCCGCTCGAACCGCAGTTCTGTTCTAGTCGGCGAAAAGCAGCGAAGTGTATGCACACATTCCAGTTCATAAACGATAGCTTCTCACATCGAACACCAGTATTTACGCAAGGATTACTTCCTTTAACTTATGCGGCAAAATGGCCGAAAACAACAGTTTGTAATACGATGGATTGCACACAATAAAACACTTCAAACTGCTTCACTAAACTCTTCAACGAATTCCAGAAGTATACATTTCGACTACTCTCTTCAACAATTTTCAGCAGACTGTTGAATTTAACGGAAACGACACTTGGGTCGCAAGTTCCCTCGCTTTTGATGCGATGTCCAATGGTGATTTCAAGTTTCTTACCTTTCCACACTAATTTTACCATTGGTCCGTGCACTTTCCGCTTGGTGGGGTCATATTTGACGTCAAGCTGTGACGTCGCAGACGCGCCATATTTAATCTGGCACGTGCGCGGACCATGATGCTAGCTTTCCTTTTGTTTCTTTTAATGACGTCATTGTAGGGAAATCTTATTGTTATATTTAGAAGCTTTAGTTGTGGTTGTTTCTTTGCATATTTGTAACTCTTTGGTCGCTGGATGGTTTCGCCTATTATTCCACTTACAACCACTACTACATTATTTAAATGTGAATTAAAGCGTAATTTTTCTCAGTAATATATTTTAAACTTTTTTAAACTTAAGATAATAAAATGATAATCCATGGCATACTGTAGCTTTACCTCCACTTAGTGCCATTAGTCGCACTTACTTCGTAACAAGAGATACTTATGTACTTGTGCTTCGGAGATTTTTTTATCTTCTTATTGCCGGACCCTGGACACGAGAGAGTGGCTTTTCCATATGGTAAACTAGTGTCCTCTGGCGGGAACTCTCGCATGTTAGACAGCACCCAATTTCTTAACCTTCCATTTCCATACTAAAGGGAAAAGTTGTTAACAAAATATGTTTATTTGTTTAAAAAATGTATAAAGGTAACATCCGATGGATTTAGAGAAATTCAAATACAAATTAAAACAATGCGATTGATATATGCAATAAATTTTATAAAGGTTTATTCAGTATTGTAAACAGATGTTCTTGGAAAAATTCGCACTTCCTTGAAAACATTTGAAGTAAATGTCGGCTGCAAAGTAAATCTTCTCACTTTCCTGCATGCATGAGTAAAGGGAAAGTTAAAAGCTGCGCGCAAAAAGGGCGGATTCATTGCCGGGCCCCAACAACGAAAGAGTGAATAAATCCCGTTACGTAATTAAGACAAAATCCTACAACACGTGGTGTAGCCAGAATCCCTGTTCTGTGTGTTCTTGATACCGAAAAATCAATTGACGGCTAAACGTCCGTCCGTCTTATTTTTTAGTAATAAACTATTTTACCGCATGATCCGTTGCAAGCAATACTACATGCTTTTAAGTGCATATATAGTATAGTTTTATAAAAGTAAAGAATGTTCACAAACCTAAAACATGAAATCCATCAATATTCAAAAACAATTCTTAAAATAAAAATTAATCAACATGATACCAATTGTTAAATGTTCTGAATAAAGTTGTTAAATGCTCGTAAATATTGATTTACTAATTTCTCAGGTGTTGCGGGCAGTATCCCAAATTCATTTTTATCTTCTGTATTAGTTTCTTCCTTTCTTCTACTAGTAGTGAACATACATAAATGATGTGGTAA